TTACTGCCACGCTGTGGTCATTTTATTCTTTAACAGGTACTTTGTATGCCAAAAAAAAAAAAACTTTATTTTTCTCTCTTTGTTGTTTTTTGCTGCTATTTCGTGGCCATTTAGTTCCACAACAGGTTATTTAAAACTTGTTTTAATTAAACTCTTTACTTCCATCATGGATAAAATTCATGGATAAAATTCCTGTATCATCTTAGGCACCTACGTCTGCTTCTCAAAGCTTACGAACAACACTTTTGGCAATACCAGCATCTCTAACATCTCTGCAATCATCTCAAGAGTCTATGAAAAATGCTATACAAGAATTTGCTTTGGAACAAAAGGAAAGTCTGAACAGACTGGATAATTTGGATAGTTATTTCTTGAAGATAATGAATCAACTTGCAGGTTCTGGTATTAAAATAAAACAAAATGAACAAAAGATAGAAGTGAAAAAGAAGGCTGACATTTTTTACTATTAGCTAGAGAAACAGGATTTGAATATGGCTACTGATTGTTAAAATGAGGAAGATGTCAACCCAGCATATCCAATGTCTTAAATAACCATTTTTTTAAAGTTAGATTGTAGAGAAAACAATAAAAATTTGTTTTAAAAAGTTATCTCCAGCTTATGGTGACCGCATGAATGAAAGCTGTCCAAAATGTCCCAATCTTGCCAGCCCTGCATAGCTTTTCAAAATTCTAGCTTGTGGCTTTCCATGTGAATTCATCCATCTCTTCTCTGCCTTCCTTTTTATCTGTCTTCAATTTTGCCTTGTCTGTGCATGAAGTGTCCAATGAATGATAGCGTAAGTTTTCACATTTTTGCCTCTAGACAGAGCACTTGCTTGCTTCCATCTTGTTTTGTCTTTCTGTTAGTCCAGGGTATTTGCAAAGCTCTCCTCCGGCACCATGTTTTGAACATCTCCATTTTCCTCCAAACCACTTTCTCCACTCTCCTGCTTATGCACCCATAGATGGTGATCAAGTACAGAATGGTATGAATACTCTTGGCATTGCCTGACAGTGTATCATCTTTACATTTGATGATATTTCTAGATCCTTCATCAATGCCATTCGAAGTCTCAGCCTTCTTTGAATTCCTTGGCTGCAGCCTCCCTTCAAATTGATGCCTGTGCCAGGCATGTGGAAATCTTCCTCCTTTCAATATCTTCATTGTGGACAGTGCAGTTCTGCAAAAATTGGGTAGGCAGGATTTGTTTTCTCTTCATATTCAGCCACAGTTCTGCTTTTGTACTTTGTGAGGGTTTTGGATGTGGCGACCAAACCCAAGGAAGACAAAACAGAAAGGATGCAACAGACATTTTTGCATTTTAGCCAAAGTGCTGGAAAAGAGAAAGGGGAGCTGAGAGCCTATCCAGGCTGCAATACAGGAAAAAGAGATTGTTGCTGATGCTGGGCATGTGACCAAGCTTGTTCTGAAGAGACTCTTTTTTCTCTGTCCTTCCAGTTTCACACCTTCCTGGGGAAAGTTCAGTTTGCAAATGCTTCCCAGGGTGAGCTCTTTTTTTATGAGGACTGGCACCTGGAGGTCTGCTATGATATCATGAACTGGATCTTCTTCTCAAATAAGTCATGTCGTAGAGTGAAAATTGGGAGCCTGGAGGGACAGGCAGCCCAGGACGTGAAGCTCACCATGGATCCAGAGGCCATTGTGTGGCCCAGGCAGTTTAACCAGATTGGCTAAGGATTCCTTGAATTCTGGTCCCTCTTGCATTCAGAAAGTTGAATACTTCATCAAATATTTCTTATGCCATACAGACAGCTATTTTCTGCATGCTTCCCTGAGAGTAAGTCCCAAGTACTGTTGAGGCATTTCCCATCAAAAAGTGTGTCCTTTTTCTGCCCTCTCCCTTTCTATGTGTCCATCACAATGGAGAGACTAGGAGGTTTGCTCACGAAGGCCACAGATTATAGAGTTCCACAGGACTTCCAATGGACATGGTAGGGGCCAGGGCACACTTCAAGGCCCACAAGAATGGGAAGCAGAGGACTCATCATCTTTTCTGTCCCCAGAGTAAGAACTGTTTTCTTGAGTAAAACTTCTAAAGAGCCGTAGACAATATGAAGAATCCACTTGAGAAAAGCAGTGTCACCCTTGAAACCTAAATCTGAGATGTCTTAATCTCATTCTAGAGGACAACAGAGAAGGCGCCAGCCAGGGGTCCCTGGGAATGAAATTTCCATTTAGTCATTCAACATTGGGTTGATTCATGTCCATAAAAACAAAGGTCCTGACCAGCTCTTTCTTGATGCTTCTTCTCTTTGTTTCCAGACAGTGCCTCACTCCAGGTGTGTTGAGAGCTGTCGCCCTGGATCTGCCAAGGAGGTTCTGGAAGGGAAGCCGCTCTGCTGCTATGCTTGTGCCCCCTGTCCAGAAGGCACTGTCTCTGCTCAGGAGGGTAAGTGTCTTTAGAGGAATGGACCATTTTTCCTGGTCAAGCCAGTCAAAGACTTAAGTGCACCTGAACACACAGTCTTTATATATTAACAAGAGGACACCAGTAGACATCATGAAGACACATGAAAAATATTTTTATATGTTAATAAATATCTAGTTGGACATGGTCATCTACTGAATTAAATTTTTAATTTTTTCTTTCTTTCTGCTTACAGCCTTTCCTGGCCTTTGTATTTCTAATCTCATTCATTAATTCCATACAGTGCACTGAATTACATGACTCAGGGGAACAATCTTTGGAATACACTGCATGGCTCCTGGGCTTCACGGCACCCTTCTCCTAGCTTGAATCATGTTCATCCCACAACCTTATGTTTTCATCATGAGGGTTTGGCCATCTTTAGAAACACTTAAAATCACTTCAAGCTTATTGGTTCCATGGAAGCCAGAAATATTGTTGTATGAATCGAGGAGGGTTCCGGGTACACCAGGTTCTTTCTTTGAACAAACCTTACTTTTGTAACTCAGATCATTCCACAGCTTCTTTCTCTTCTGAATATATCCAAACTGTCAAGAAGATTGGCTTTTTTAGCCTAGAGCCCAGCTGATATTACATAGAAATGTAGAAACAGAGCGAGTCAGAAGGGGTCCCCTGGGCCATCTAGTCTGACCCCCGGCTCTAGCCGGCTCCACTCACGACATGCCCACCATGTGCATGTCCAGCCTATCCTTTAGCACCCTAACCGATGGTGTCTCAACCACCTCCCGTGGAAGCCCGTTCCATACCCTCAGGGTCCTGTCAGGAAGTGCTTCCCGGCATCTGAATTGAACCTTGATTCCCTGAGCTTTGCTCCATTGGAGCATGCCCTGCCTTCCTCTACAGGGGAGAACAGGTCTCTAACCACCTCCATGTGACATCCCCTCACATACCTGTATGTCGCCAACACATTAGATCTTACAAACCTATTGAACTTCCCTGAGCCTACAATGGGATAGGTTAATGACCACACAGACCATTACCTGCAGATTTGAGTGAGAACTCTAGAGAATCACAGTTTGATTGAGGAAGACAAAAGTCTGGATAAGGGATAAAGAGCTGAGATTAATTTTCCTGTCCACCCCTCCCATGCTGGCCCCTCCAAGTCTCATCAAACAGCCTCACAGGGAACTGGCTCACCAGATTGCCACAACTGTGACAAGGAGTTCCTGGCCAGCCGAGTTTAGAATTCCAGATACTGAGTCCAGACTCAGTGTGGGAGATGGTTGGGCAGGAAGAGCAGAGGTTGCTGGACTGGCAAGGTCATCGGATGATATGGCTCTAGAAAGTTAGAAAAGAAACTGTCCTGGAAAGGAGTGGAAATCAAGGGGATTTGTCAGAGCTTGTCCAGAGGTGCCAGGCCAAGAAAGAGGACCAAGAGTTAGATTAAACTCTTCACATGGGAAGGGAGTATTACCCGAGTTTATGCTGGTTGTGAGCATGTGCGGTTCAATAAAGGCCTGTGGTTTCATCCAGCACTGCTGGAGAAGGACAGGGCAGGGGAGAGTTACTCTTGTGGGATTCTGCTTGCTGTGAAATCCAGTGTTTGGGAGTTGGACAGATGAGGTGCAGCCAAAACAAACCACATCTTCAGGCCATTCTGGCTTTGGATAGCATGGCATAATTAGGAAAAGTGAGTGATGTAGAAGCATCCCAAGAAGGATGAGAAAAAGAAGCCACTGTACTTGTGAATCATCAACCTCTGCTGGTGTTCTACAGTTCCCTCATTTCCCTAAACTTTCTATCCAAATGCGTTATAACACTGACTGTTCTGGATAACATCAGATGCCCATTAGTGAAACCAGATTCACTTTCCCTCCTTTCAGATACGGATCATTGTATTGCGTGTCCAGCTGATCAGGAGCCGAAGTCCAACCAATGTCATTGTGTCCCCAAGTCTCTGAGCTTTCTGCCCTATGAAGAACCTCTGGGGATTACCCTGGCTTCCATTTCCCTATTCTTCTCCTTCACCACGGGCTGCGTCTTAGGAATATTCATCAAATACTTGGACACCCCATTAGTCAAAGCCAACAACAGGGACTCAGCTCCCTCTTGCTTTCATTTTGGTCCACCTTTCTGTTCATTGGGCAGCCACAGAAACTGACTTGCCAGCTCCGACAAAAGGCCTTCAGCATCATCTTCTCACTTGCTGTCTCTTCCGTGTTGGTCAAAACCATCACTGTGGTGTTGGCCTTCCTGGCCACCAAGCCAGGGAACAAGGTGAGAAGGTGGCTGGGAAAGAGCCTGGCCAATGCCACAGTCATTTCCTGTTCCAGTGTGCAACTAGTTATCTGCTCCATCTGGTTGGGCATCTCTCCACCTTTCCCAAACTCTGACATGCACACCAAGCCTGGACACATCATCCTGCAATGCAATGAGGGGTCTATGGCCATGTTCTACACTGCCCTTGGATACATGGGCTTCCTGGCTGCCTTCTGCTTCATGGTGGCTTTCCTGGCCAGAAGGCTGCTGGGGGCCTTCAACGAAGCCAAGCTGATCACCTTCAGCATGCTGGCCTTCTGCAGTGTCTGGGTGTCCTTTGTGCCCTCCTACCTGAGCACCAAGTACACAGTGGCCATGCAGATCTTCTCCATCTTGGCCTCCAGTGCTGGGCTGCTGGCCTGCATCTTTCTTCCCAAGTGCTACAACATTGTCCTGAGGCCTGAGCTGAATTCAAAGGAGCATCTCATGATGAAATCAAATGATGGCAGGTGATCCTATGTGCACAGAATGCACTGTAATATGTCATAGCTATTGAGATGGGAGCTACATGGCCTGGGTCCTGGATACCTGAAGGAGTATCTGTGTTCCCTAAGCCCCGCCTTGAGATATGAGTCAGAGGCCCTCCTCCAGGAACCGTCCTTGAAAGAGATCAAGGGTGAGATTACTCGGAGGAGGGCCATCTCTGTTGTGCCCCCCCCCCCCCCGTTGTGGAACACACTCCCCAGAGAGGTTCACCAGGCACCAACACTTCTCTTTCGGCATCAGAATAAAAAAGAAAACCTTTTTATTCTCCCAGTATTTTAATAGTTAAGCTATTCTATTTAGTGGTTTTATATGTTAATATCGGATGCTGTGCAACTGTTCCTCTTATTGCTATTTTTATTTAATTGTATTAATCTGTTGTAAACCATCCCAATTCATCTGAGATGGGATGGTATAGAAAAGTTTTAAAAGAAATACATAAACCTCCAGGGGAAATCCAGCAGCAACTTACCCTTCTTGCAGCACTGTTCAAACAGCAAGTTCACATTCTAAGGAAACCACATTTACGGAAGTGTGAAGAAAAGCATCCCAAGTTTTCAGTTTCCTGCTACATCCCAGGAGGAAAAACCCAGCAGGGACTTTTAGCTCCTACACACTTGTACCAAAAGGGACTACTTATTGAAATAAACCCATGCTTAGGCAGAGGCATGAATATGAGTACTTTGGTGGATGCTGGTAAGAGTTCTCATGCGGGCATAGTCAGCAACAGTCTGCTTACAAACAAAAATGGAGGCTAGCTTCAATTTGTGCTCACGGCATTCAAGTTTAAGGAGAAACTCATAAAATTTAGCTCCAAGCCACCCTAAATCTGAGGGTTGAGCTTATCACAAAATTACACACACTTGCACAAAAAGTCAGCCCCTTCAACCACAGCACTCTTTGAATGTCCACCCCTTATGACGCACTCTTAACTCGACGGGGATGAACCTCCCCCTGGAGGCTAGACAAACTCCTCTCCCTCTTTCTTTGACTACCATACCAACGAAGGAATTGTACAAGGGTTGCATTCAAATGCTCCATTTGGCCATCTGTTTGAGGATGATGCGCCGAAGAGAGGTGAAACTCGACCTTGAGCAAGGTGAGGATTTCCCTCTAGAAATGGGAGGTGAACTCAGTGCCCCTATCAGAAATTAATGCAAGAGGCCACCCATCTAGTCTATAAATATGAGCTAAATAAAGGAAGGCCGTGGTTTTGGCTGAGGGAAGTCCTGTACAAGAAATAAAGTGACCCATTATGGTGATTCTAAGCATCACAGTTGCCCCCCTCCTCACCTCTCTCAGATTTATGATGCACTCTCAACTCGACAGGAACGAACCTCCCCCCAGGGGCAAGGTAAGTTCCTCTCCCTCCTGCTTTGACTTTTCCTCTCTTCTAATTGGCTCAAGTGCCAAAGTCTCCTCAGCTGGGCATTCTCCATGGCAATGGACATTCCCACAGACGACTTAAGAATGTTATGAGGAGCTTGAATAAAAACTTTATCAGAGTTGGGTGGTGGGGGAGAGGGCTGTTTGTGTAAGTCAAGAAGAACATTCTAGTTTTAAGTAGAGAGAAAGATCTGAAACCAGTGTTAATTATATCTTAAATGATCTTAGTTTTTTTTCAGGGAGGATTTGTCCCAGCGTGGGAAAGGTATGAGAAAGAGTTCTGGAAGTTTGTTCTCAAGGCTAAATAGAAGCAAAATGCTGCAACAGTTTTGGTTAATTTGAGCTGATTGTTAAAGTTAAAACTCCAAAGAAGAATGCTTGACAAATTACATGTTCCAGAGTTGTGTAGAGATCAAAACGAGGACAGAAACCAAGGAAGCAGTTCGTTATGTTTACAGCAGAGTTAGGGCTGGAGGCAAATTAAATAGAAATGGCAAAGAGAAGAGAACTGTGTAAAGCACTCCCTCTGCTGGATCAGCAAGCGAATGACAAACTTGAAATGCCAGAAAAGTTTTGATAGATTAATGTTATGCCAGAAAGGCCTGGCAGCTTGGAGAAACACCTCAGTCAAGATCTCATACCTAGTGTCATACAGAAATCCAAGAAGGACAAATAGAAGGCCTTCAAATTTGTCTCTAACTAGAATTGCATCTTCAGAAATGGATGCCCAGACATCGGGGTTCCAAGGGAAGAAAGAGATGGAATTAGAGATGAAAGGCAATAGGAAAATGCTTTAGACAGGCATTGAAGGTCTAAGAGAGGAGACTGAAAAGGTCAACCAACATTTGAAATGTCTTAAAAGCAGGAGTGGGGGGATGGAAGGAAGAATGCAACATGGGAAACTGGTGATCGCACATGAGATGGCAGATTCTATTTTAACACAAATGAAAGTTGAAAATAATAATATAAAAAGTTGTTTTTTACAGTTTTTGGAATATCATTTCCCAGCTTTTTCTGTCAAAAATAAATGGACAGAAATGTTCACCAGAGCGAACAAAGGAGAGTCATCATCAATCTAAAAGAATTTTAAAAAATGGAAAAAAAAGTTTGGTTCTACTGGGGGACAAGAGTCACCAATCTAATATTTGAATGCATGGCATTTTGGAATGAGCGTACGCAGATGAGACATCTTTAGACTGATGTGTTGGAATGGGTTAGATAACTCCTTCCAAATGAGAAATGGGAAGATGAAGTTATGGAAAAAATATACAGAGCAGGTCCCAAGCATGGCTCTAGAATTTTCCTCAGAGAAATATTGATCAAATTTGCTAATAAGTATAAAAAGGAGAGGATCATGTAAAAATTGCGAGTTGAGATGGTATGATTATGTGGGAATCCATCTTAATCTTTATCATCACTCTGTAGTGCTTAGGCGTTCTTTGAATATAATCAGTTTATATTTAAAAGAATAATATGTCATTGGGGATATCCATTACATGTATGAGAGTTTTCTACAGTGGGACATATAGTAGTACCAACCCTCTGTCAAAAGGTTTAAACATGCTATTCAAATATGCTCTTCAAATTCTGATAGATGAAGATGAATGGAAGCAAGAAGTAGCAAAAATTGAAGATAAAGGATGGGAAACAGCATCAGATGGTGACAGTCAAGGAGACATGGAAGAAATGAAGGACGTTCAGTGACTCAAAGTATTCGTTTAGTGGAACAGGAGGCATCAAAAGCAGTAGAATAAAGACATCAAAGAGGCAAAGATGTTGCAGCAATTGATGGATGTTCCCCAATTCAAGGAAGCAGCTCCCTTGGAGGAAGACTGATCAAATCAGGCAGAAGAACAGGTGGTGAAGAAGAATGGGAAGAAATGGGGCTGGAGGGGGAGGTTACTACTTCATCTTCCTCCCAATTTCTTTCTCTGGTTTATCCCTATCTCATTTCAAGATGGTAGGATAGATTAAAATACAGGGGATGAGATGATAAGGCAGAGGTACAGAATGGTGTGTAAAATGTATAACAGCAAATATTTAGGAGTAGTTATTTAAGTGATAGAGGCAGAAAGTGCTGGGAGTGGCTGTTGTCCCTTCTTCCTTCCCTCCACCAAAGTGCAATTTGAGGATGCTCAAGTGGTTTTTCCCTGAGGGGAGAGGGTGTGATACTGGTCATATATAGGGGTGAAGGGAAGGGAAGGGAAGGGAAGGGTCTTATTCTTTATATATTTGTGCAGAAGGTGCACTAAGAGTCAATTAGGATACATGTTCTTAAGATGATATGCTTAACACATGTGAATATCTTTAAATGATAACAGTCTAATGACTGTAGTCAAAATGAAACAAATTGAAGTGATGATGAATGCAGAAATAGCAGATATTGTATTTTTACAGGAGTCTCATCAGAAAAATGAGGGGATATATGAACTGAAAGCAACATGTTTGAATTTGTATGAAAAAGTATTTGGATCTGCAAAATCAAGGGGGGTAGCAATTATTAATTCAAAGAAGATTGAGTTAAACTTTTAAAACTAAAGAAAGATGAAAGAGGAAGATATTTGAACTTGAGGGTGAAATAAGAGGAGAATGTTATACATTACTTAATATACATGGTGTCCCAAAAAATTGTCATCATTTCATAGTCCAAGAACATAGCCAATTCTCGCTCAAATGATCTCAAATTTTAACAAAATGTGTAAAAACTTACTAATGTTAGTTATGCAATGTTACGCAAGACATGCTACAGCGTGTTTGGCAGGAGGTGAACTACCAACTTGACGTGTGTCGTGTCACAGGCGGTGCGCATATTGAACATTTGTGAAGCTTTGTGAAATAAGTTATACAATCTACATCCCTTTGAATCTCTTGTTCGAATTTTGTTAAATAAATCTTTTATTGTTCAACATGAAATCTATTTAATTCTGTTTGCCTAGAACATGCAGTTAGATATTAACATTTCGGATATTTTAAACGGTTTACTTTCTACTCGATACATTGCACTTATTTATTCATTTTTATTTATTTAAAACATTTTTACCCCATCCTTCCCAATAAAACCTCTCAGAACGGTTTACAATAATTAAAAACAGTAATAATAATAAAATTGCACTCAACAATAATAATAAAATAGTTAAAGCAATAAAAACCAAAGCAATAAATAAATAACATTCGTAATTCAGCTAGCTAAAGAAAGAGAATGCGACTGCAATCTTAAAACATCTAAAATCCTTAGTTCTTAAAAAGATGGTTAAATAAAAAGGTTTTTACCTGACACCAAAAAGCGTATAAAATCAGTGCCAGGTGAACCTCTCTGGTGCGTCCATTCCAGAATAGATTATATATTTGTATCTAAAGATTCCTTTCATAGAGTTTATGAATTGAATATTAGTGTTATAAAAGATGGCCCATGGGAAATATGGATTTTACATATGTATTTATGTGGTGGGGTGGAATGGGCACC